TGTGCCTCATTTGCGATATACAGGAGTTGATCAACAACAACAACAACAAGACAACAATATTTCACGTCAATACAATTTATCTGTTGAAAAACACTCTCACATCAACTCACAAAGTTCAATTCCACAGAATTCATTTGTCACATCTAAAGTGAAAACAGTAAGTACTCTTGTATCTCGTTTGCTTACAAGATTGTTCATACAAATCGGACACTTGCCAACCACCACAAGACAAAAATAACTGCTGTGTAACACAATTCAATTCTCTGACATCAGACGAAAGCTAGAGAGTGTTAACCTGAGCTAAGTGTTACTCGTCGCATTAGTCTACTTATTGTCAATGTCGTTTCACCTATGACCTAATCGGCAACATTGTCTGTCATATAGTTCGAAGCGAGAAGTTTTGATTGACTCCGCACGCGTCTGTCTCTCCATCAGGTATATTTCCGAGATGACTGTATGTTGGTTGAACCCCACTGTGTTACGTATTATCCAATATTTTGTGCCACAATTGAATGCCTTCAATTTCCTGCATTCTGGTGCCTTGTCGTCAAGTCATTTACTTGCATGTACACGTGAATGAGATTGCCTGGTGTATACGAAGAGTGAATAGCAAACTTGGTGTTCCGTTTCACTCGCTTGCAATGACACAACTGTCTGACTCATCATGTTCGTGAATTCATTGAGTATACAACACTTAAGCAGTAATATCAACACCAATCAACTTCAATCAACATCAGCGTTATACTGAATCAACTCAATCACCTGATTAGGTCATCTAAACTCACAAAAACGTTTGCCAATTTTACCATTTTACAAAGTTCTAACAGAGTTACATACTGATCATCCTTATTATCACTTCATCTAAGTGACATTTTAATGCGAAGTCGTAGAGAGAAGGAGAAGACAACTCGATCGCCAACTCCTTCCCCTCATATTCCATTGTCAGTCTACACACAATCCACTGAATGTCAATGTGTCCACGAAATGAACCTCGCATACTTTGTAATCAGCCTATTCATTCCTTGATAAATTACACAGATTTCTAGAAGATAACTGTGAAGTGCTGCTTCTCAGTAGAAACAAGATATTCAGCGAGGAGAACTCTTTTCAACAAATTTATTCTCAAGCTGTACATTCGTATATATACATATATCATATTTAAAGACTGTAATCCGTGAGGACAATTTAACTCAAATAATGGCAGCTTGAAATCATAATAATGTTGGTTACAATAATAATAATAATAATAATAATAATAATAATAATAATAATAATAATAATAATAATAATAATAATAGTGTTGCTAATTGATAATGTAAAGGTTGAATGATAGATAACAAAAGGACAAGAGTTGTGTAAGATATTGAAATCGTTTGTAATGTGTATATAGATTGAGAAGGGGTGAAAATGTGGTAGAGTTAATAAACAATCAAGGGATTATGACTATTTATTGATGTACTTGTAATTCTGCGTTGTTTCCTCTCCTATTCACAACCAACCAAATTACCATAATTGACATTCAGGGAATATCGAGGCATCCACATAGGAGCCCATATGCCCTAATTGAGGTCGAACAATTCGATCCCGTGAAACAATGGAGAATTACAAGTATATCCATAAATAGTGATAACTACTACCAGTTGTACAAGAAGTTGCTATCCTGCCTCCGTGGCATAGTGAATAACGCCTTGGCGTTTGAAGCGATGGCTACGAGGTTCGAGTCTCAGTGGGGACAACATCACTCACTCACTCACCCACTCACTCACTGAGGTGCAGGTGCATGTACATCCAGCTAACAAGTCCCATATAGGACGAAACGGGCGTCCCTGATTCCTCTGCTAGCCACAACCAACCAAATCGAAGCATTAGGTAACATGAATGAGACAAGTTAATTGGAATAAATTGGAAATGTTGTTCCGTTAAAAGTTGCGATTATTGGGAAGATGAAATGAGATAGATAACACCGGACACAATCAAATATGAACATAGAAGTGATAATCACGATATAGTAGTACAAAGAGGAATCTGACAAGAGAGGGGGGATTTTGAAGAGACAAAAAAGGAAGCAAGCGCACCAAGACGAAAATCAGGTAAGGCCAAAGTAGAGACAAACACCGTGCATACTTCACTAGCACATAAAGGTCAGGCTTGAGTTGATAGATAGCAAAGGTCTCTGCTTTATTCACAAGCTTAGAAGGCAGGAGAATTGAGGTGTTTCGGAGAATTCAACTATCAGTAACTCTTTCACTCCATACCTGTGTAAATGGAAATACTCATGTGATTCGGTTATTGTTTTCTTGTCAATCGTAGACAAAAGTGTCTTCCTCAGGTTGATCACAAGACACTCAACTTTGACTTTGTTTTCCTTTATTATTCTCGAGTTCAAGGTGATGGTGTGAATGTGTATACATGTGACTGAGAGTGAACGTGTGAGAAACAATAACTATGGCTAATAAATTTGGTTTGTTTATGTTTGTCTACTTTTGTTGTGATGATTGTGTGTGTGTGAGTGTGGCACGTGCTATTTTGGATATGCTGTCCAGGTCGTTGGTTGCATAGTCAGAGGATTGTTTCTGCTGTTGAGTGCATTAGTACTCAACACAATGTGAAATGCCTCACCTATTCTCCTTTATTTGTAGTCTGCAAAGCTTTTGTCAATCATGTTAATATTTTCAATGTGGATTTTGTGACTGTGATGGATGAGGTGAACGGCGATTGGCGATTGGTGATTGGCGATTGGCGATTTCATGAGTAGATTCTCTAGTTCTACAGGATTATTTGGTATTGTTCTTGTGTAACTTGCATGTTGTTTAGGCAGCATGACGATTCGGCATAATGATTCCCTCATCACTATAGTAGGCATCACAATCTAAGCAGTCTAGTTAGTGGACACAATTGTGTGTGTGTGTCTGTGAGAGAGAGAGAGAGAGAGTTGGATTTGGAGTGGGAGTGGAAGGAATTTCATAATTTCATTGGAGTAAAGTATTGATGAGTGTTGGTTATATTATAAAAGCCTGTAAATCGATGCTTCTGTAAAGTCCTTAATGGGTGTGCACTTGCACACCGGTGGAATGCCACAACCACTCTCCTAATCCACAATTCATCATTTCAACTTCCACCTGAATACCTCTACTCATTCATATCTCTGAATCTTTTAAATAACAGGAAGAGGCTACTCATATTGGAATATAATACATCCAATATCTTTCCTACTTCCCTTTTTGTCTGTCATCTTCATTCTTGATAAACAACGAGATGGAAACGGAAACACGTCAGCTTTTACACAAACTGAAAATGTTCAACGGAGACTCATCATCTTCCCCTCTACATCAATAACCATATACATCATCACGTCGATTGGGCCACCGGTGCACAGTCGCCAACTCTTCTACAACTGATATCACGTGTTACTCGATACACGACGTAATCTCCCGTTTACACACTACCTTCAATTGTAAACAAACGACGAGTAACCGACGACATACAATGGTACCATGTTATTCTACTCCAATCCTTCTCCAATCAACTTCATAAGGTGGAATATGTAAATCAAATGATTCTATTTTAGTCAGTTTATCAGATTCATCCATCACACAGTGAAACGGCATTATTATTCATTCAATGGCATTTCAGATTGTGTGGAAGACGACCGATGTGTAGTTCTGTTTCATTGTGTGATACAGTGAATAAACCAACTAGAATGAGTTCAGTCAGTCAGTCAGTGCATAACAGACACCTTGTCAGCAAGATCACTAGTCCACCATCAGTGTCCAACAGCGTTTTAATCGCCTGCCATCCAGTGACTGATATATATAGGCAATCATCTCCACATTATATTCACTTTCATTGACGTCATTTGGATACAGTGGAAATCTACGAGTGTTGCAGTAAACGGAATGCAAGCGAATCATTATCAACATAGGACCAGGCATTACTGCGTAACGGTCCGAGTTGCCACACCTCGCGTCATTTCATCAAGTAGAAAGCTAGTGAGCTGAAGGATCAAGATAAATGAATGCAGTCAAAAGAAATATAAAGTACGAGAAGAAAGGAAAGAGGAGTGACAAAATGGTGAGATTCGGTATAGCGTTGTTAAGATGAGGATAATGTGTGTATACATCTGCGCCACTGACTTCGGTTCTGAGCCATATCACCTAGGGTCTCCAACCACTGGTTCCTCTTGTCCCGCCGACCCCAACCACCTAGTCTGCATCGTCCTACATGGCTTAAACCAACAGTCAGAGACTTCATACATTGGTGCCATGTTTTAGTCTGGCCACCTCGGGCCTTTTTCCAGCCTGGACCCACCTCAGCCAACATTGTGTGACGAGGCAATCGGTGACTAGGCATACGTAGTACGTGTCCCAACCATCTCAGTCGATGAAGGTTCATAACCTCGTCAACTGACTTACCTCTTCTCCCTAAAACTCTACACCTAAACTTCTGCATTACTCACGTGGTGACACCACGGAATACGTCCTATACTACGAAGGCAACGGTGGTCAAACACTCGAAGCCTCTTTATATCTTCCACTTTCAATGGCCATGTTTCACAGCCATACAGTAGAACAGAGCGGACTGCTGTGCAGTACACGCGACCCTTAATAGACAAACGAATATCACGGCGGCGCCATAGGTGGCGCAAATTGGCAAAAGCCAATCGAGCCTTTTGTATCCGTGCAGAAATCTCATCGGCAACCGACCCACCCACCAGGGTTGATCCTACTTCCCAGGTAAGTGAAGTGGTCAACACACTCAACCACTTCACTCTCTATTGTTAGCCACGGTACCGCTGAAGACCAGTCCTGGAGCAAAAATTTGCATTTGGGTGGTGAAAATCGCATCCCAAACATTCTCAAATTCCCACTCAAAGTGTTCAGAAGACTCTGCATCTTGTCAGCGTCTTCACCTAACAGGACTATGTCATCTGCATATTCTAGATCTAAAGAAAATTCACCTGTGATTGGGTCAACGTCTGTATAATTAGGTGACGAGAGGGAAACCTCCATAAGAATATCTATGATAAAATTAAATAAGAATGGAGAGAGTGGGCATCCTTGACGGACACCACTTGATGAGTATAGCTCCCTGGACAACTCACCATAGGCTCTAACATGCCCACAAGTGTTCGAGTAGAGAGCTTTCAATAAGGTGATGTACTTACTAGGCACGCCTTTCAGTGACAGACATTGCCATAAGACTTCTCGATCAACGGAGTCAAATGCCGCCTTCAGGTCGAGAAATACAGCTATTGTCGGGCGTCTGTAAGCATGCCTATGTTCCAGGACCTGGCGCAGTGTGAATATTTGGTCGATACACCCACGGCCAGGTCTAAAGCCTGCCTGGTTTTCTCGGGCTTGCTGTTCCCGAGCTCCACTCAGGCGTCGGAGAATTATAGAACTTAGGATCTTAGACACTATGTTTGTCAGGCTGATTCCTCTGTGGTTATCACAAGAGGACTTCTCGCCTTTCTTGAAGACTGGGATGATGAGTGACTTAGACCAGTCGGAGGGGATCGTATTTGATTCCCATATACTGGCTAACACTTCCGTTAACCTGACTAAGAGCACTCTACCACCATTCTTGTATACCTCAGCAGGTAGTCCGTCTGGTCCTGCTGCCCTTCCCGTTTCAGGCTACCTACCGCTTTCTCAACTTCTTCTAGTGTTGGGGGGCCTGTCTCTATGTCCCATTCAGGGTCCGACTGGATAGCGGGCAACGCAATCGTGGCTGGAGGCCAGTTAAACTGTTCCTCGAAGTGTTCTGCCCATCGTTCCAGTCGCCCCCTGCGAGTGAATCGCAGATCCGTCCTTCTCCGCTATAGCCTCACTAACTGTTGTTGACCATTTCCCCCCAGTCTCCTTAATAAGTCTAAATAACTGTCTACTGTTACCGATCGCCGCTGCCTTTTCCATCTCTTTAGCCTTGCTGCCCACCACTGTTCACGATCGTTGCGCAGACTTTTCGTCAGTTATTTTTAAGTTGCGCTCGCTCTTCATTGTACTCAGAGCCTGCAGGGATGCATTCACGTGCATCCATTAGTTTGGAAGAAGCTGCTGATATCCACTGGCTCTTTTTAGCCATTATTTTGGAGTCGGCTACAGTCTTCAGTGCTGCTTTTACAGCAGACTGAAGATGGCACCAAGCTTCTTCTGGATGAGTGACAGTCTTTTGTTCCGATAACTGCCTAGCCAACTTCTCACTGAACACGGCTTTGGTGTTTTCGTTGTCCAGCAGAACTCGTAGTGGTTTTGTTGCCAAATTTTTTCTACGTCCATTGAGACGCAGGCATATACGTGCTCGGACCAACGCATGATCGCTGTCCAAACACGTACTCCAGAAGGAGCGGCAGTCTTCCACCGATCCTCTCCAGCGATGACTAATAGCAATGTGGTCTATCTGTGTCCATCGCTGAGTTGAGCTCGGTGGACGCCAGGTCAGACAGTGCCTTTCTTTATGTCTGAAATTTGTGCTGGCTAAAAATAGGCGGTTATCTGAGCATAGTTGTAATAGGCGATCACCGTTATCTGTACGTTCAGCTGGGATTCCGAAAGTGCCACCTAAGTGCCTTTCTGCCTCACTCAGTCTACCCACCTGTGCGTTGAGGTCACCTGCAACAACCACCACGTCCGAACGTTTGGCTTTCGAGAGGAGGTTAGACAGTTTATGGTAGAACTCGTCCTTCACTTCATCCGAGCTGCAGTCAGTGGGTGCGTAAGCAGAGATTACAAAGAGACAACGGCGAGTCTCACTATTCCTTTTAGTTCTCACTGTGCCGTTCAGCCTCATAGCGCAGAGGCGACTATCAACTGGGATCCAGTCTAGTAGTGAGTTTTCTGCCCTGGTGCTTAATGCTATACCTACACCTGCAAGACCACGAGAGCTAGCTATCGAATCTCCAGAAACTCGAAGGGTGAATTTTGCGGATTCACCAGATTGGTCAGGAGAGGTCAGGTGAATAACCACACTTGGGTCCTGTATGCGTGTCTCACAAACACAGCACACATCCATGCCCGAGTTGCTAGAGTCTTTGCTAACGAAGCCTGTTGGCCAATTTGACGGAGGGTGCGGACATTGAAGGCTCCAATATGTAATTTGGAGCGTGGTTTAAGGAGACCAGGATGGTGTTCTGTGGACTCAGATCGTTGTCGAAGGCTGCAGAGGTAGGAGAAATTGAAGATGATGCAGCATCATTAATTAAGAGACGTGAAGGAAGATTAGAAGGTAATGATGGAGGAAGTGGATAGCAGTCAGAAGAAACTTGGGTGCTGACAGAGTTGTGAGGGCGGTTGACACTTCCCGGCTGCCCACACCGTGGAAGGCTATTTCTTCTTAAGGTACCTGAAAGAGATTTGTGTGACCGCAGAGCCCATCGGACATCTGCTTGAGGCCTGTCACACGAAGCCTTTTGAGTATGATTATTTTGAACTTTTGTATTTTTGGGGCCGGATGGTGGAAAGGAAACGACAAGTGAACCAACACCGCCGGCCCGGCAGACCGTGGGGCGTGGTGGAGTGTGTTATTTTTGGGGCCGACCTTTTCTAACCCCCCCTTCCACTGAGAAGGCAGCATCAGCATGGCACTGCTGGTCATCCAAGGGAAACACCTTACTGCTGTCACACCCCATCCAGCTAGCAGCAGTACGACTTCGCCCTCAGACCCCCATCATAGTGTAGCAATTTACACTAAACGGTAACTGCTTTTCGTCTAACCACTATCCAACAGACCTTTCTGGTATGGTAGGACCTCGAGGGAACAAGCGTTCCACCAGCATAGCTCGTTGAGCCATTGTGATATGCAAGCCCGACCACCACGTCAAGGTAGAAGCTATCGGTCGGGAATGCAAGCGAAGGAGATTGATGATATCAGTCAACTCAACTGTTCACTTGTCAACTAAGTGATCCCGTTCGATTTGTCAATGCAAGAAAATCTATCTGGTACTGAGAGATGAAAGTATTGACAAATATCTTCAACAAGGACAAAAAGTGTGTTACTTCTGTGTGTAGGCAAAGTGTATCAATGTCGAGGCACTGAACCACTCACTGTACAACTGTGTCTGGTTATAGTTTAGCAACATTCCGATTGCATTCACACTGTACCTCCATGTCCAGAACATATTGGCTCATTTTATTCCCAGCTATGCGTTAAACGCATAATTGTCCAATATTACGAGCATTTAGTGATATTTGGATTGAAAAAGCTTCTTCTATTGACGTAAGAATGTCTGTTAATGATAGTTAGGAATTTTGACATGATCACCCACTAGTCTGTTATACAAAACACCTTGTTCCCTCCGACGCATCCCACCCTCCCTCCTACTCCCTACAAGTCCCTACCTACCTATCGGTCATCTAAACAGAAATGATGTCTAGAGTGAGAGAATAAGACAAGGCTGTGTTGTAAGCAGAAGTGAAATACTCGAACAAGAACTATTGGCACAATAATTTATTCCTTAGATCACGTAATAGCACAACAAAAAAGGTATACTTCAAAAAATGTAACAACCAAACAGCATTTCTAAGTCTCATTTAACGATCTTCTCCACAATATATCATATGCACAGTGTCTTCTCAACATCACTGATTATTTAACACACTCCGTGGAATATGATCATGCTGAATTCTTCCCTCTTTAATACAACACATCAATCATCTACTACATACACTTCATCATCATCATCATTTACACCTACGCCTACACCTACACACACACTCACATAAAACAGGTACAATTTCCAACTGAATTTACTGGAAACTAATTACACGAACAAGAGTGATAGGCTGGATACTCGAACAAAATACTCAGACGATGACCTCAACTCTCCACATTTACGCATGTGCCTACATCATGACAATCAAATTATGCAGGAGTCACTTCCAATTAACTAGGCGCTGTTTATCACTTTCTCAATAACTCACACTAACTAACAAAGTATATCACAACACTCGAGGGTACTTCAATCCTTCTCTCTCTCTCTCTCTCTCTCTTCACCAGTCACTAGCACATTCCTCTGACCAGTCGACTTCCAACTATGTACATTCTTCATTTTCTTATCACAATAATTCCATCAAATCTTGCTCACCTTCATTACTGTGCTGTGCAGTACACTCAACACTCAATGACTACTCAGCAATCCTCTCAACGCTGAAATCTGTCACAGCTGATGGAAACAAATCAGACATTAGTATTTATTTATTTTCATAGTTTGTCAGCCAGCAGCTTGCAGAAAGAAGACAATGGAGTATCGCAGATCCATTTACACCCAACCGACGTAATCTCCACCATTCCCTCTAATTCCTTGTTTCTCAGTCACTTGCCTCTTGCATCTCTAATTCCACACATTGAAGTGTTGAAACGGACAACGAAGAAGGTGCGTTCGTGTACACGCAAAACTGATTGGAAATCAGCTTCAACTACATGTCAGATGCACATCAATCATAAACAGACACACGGTTTTCTTACCTTCAATCTAACCCCACTTATTGTCAGATGATTTTCACCAATGATTTCAAATCTCACCCTACCAACGAATGAAAAATAAGCAATTCACTCTGTTTATTGACACCACACAGCCAGCTTCCTCATGAAATACACAGCTCTAATTGGTTACTTCAGTCGTTCGACGAGTGGCAGTCTCTCGATTTACACCCATCATTCCTAACCGAAGAAAACACTGAAAGTATCCAGTTGGAGGACGCAGTGTCGTCTGCTCACCAGTCTCCACGGAATATTTGTCATTCCAATAAATCTGATTCCCATCTCCAGATAATTGGTTGTCATACTCGAAAACTGCAAATACTAGCCATTCCCATCGTGTGAGCTTAGGTGAACAGACACACTGAGGAGGAAATATATTGCAGCGACTCTCACCTTCTTCAGTGTACTCGTAGCTGGAATCAATGAACCAAGCTTTAAGTGAATCGTTATGACTATTCACTTTCGAATGAACTGCATGACGTCACTGAAACACTCACCAGATTAAATAAATAATGTGGACGCATAACCCACATATTCTTCCTTACTAAGGGTTTGGAGACTCGTGAATTCATCACTGATTCGTGACACAGATATTGGGAGGAAATGAGGTGATAGGGACGAAGGAAGGAATGTTTATTATTACCATGTAGCACGGTAGTCGTTAAATGTGGTACACCTTGCACCAAGACAGTCATTTGCACAATGTGCTTCACTTCCTCTTCTGCTTCTCTCTTCATTTCCTCTCAATACGCTCACATTTTCTGTCGCATTCCTCTCTCTCTGGAGAGAATCCTTACCCATTCCTGGGGATTGCATATCATTTCTGCCACCCTCTCAACACATACTACTCATATCCATTGTGATGATCAACGCCCACTACAATATCAGTGAATAAATACACCGTCAAACATTTCATTTCAAGTCTCCAGTAGTCTGTATCATCTGCATCCCTGCCTACCCGGTCAGAATGAAGCTTCAGTATGAAGTTTACTTCATTCCTCATTGTAATTATCCACTCCAATAATTCATTCACTTATCCTACCTACCCCATACCTATCAATCATTACGCATCAATATCCAAATATGAAATGCATCCATCATAAATACACATTGTATTTGTGTTTAGAATTGCTTGGATAGAAATCGAAAGAGGATTATTACCTATTGACTGCTATTGTGTACAACACTTGATGAAGAACAAATCAAGGGAAAGTGGAACAGAGACGATAGGAAAGAACTGATATCCGAAGTGATTATTCTACCTGAACACAGGCGAACAGGGAAAGCGAACGCCATCACTCATCGAGAAAGTCACAATTCACATCTACACCTAACATCCACAGGAAATATTCAAAAACATTCTTCACATACATCGACTGCAACTTCATTGTCACAAGTCCTTGATCAGATGAAATAATCTCACATTATTAGCACTACGAATGACCGAAACAAACTGGCCTCAACAACATACAACGCACACACACACACACACACACACACACACACACACAGCAAGTTCCAATAAGGCATGCCAAATCGCATTGCACCTGCGAAGTGGCCAGTTGTGAGCTGAAGTCAAATCAATGTTTGTGTACAATCGCGGTAATTTACTGCAGTCCACCCTGCCTTCCAAATGACTTCGTCCTAACCCATATACATTACTGGAATAGAAGCAACACATGCCTGCCTAATAGTTGGGCATCTGAATACTTCACACATAAACTGGACGGAGCTAACAGTCTTAGCCTCAGCCAGTTCCCTCCCAAATGACCTACTTTTAACTGTACTACAATCTGTTCTAGTTCAAAACGTAACCTGTGCGAAGGATAGATTCCATCTTGAACACAAGCCTCTCGTTATTAGATTTCCTTTTAAATTACCAATATAGAGAGAGACATTATGGATCTACGATACTCCCCGATGTTAGCTAACAGTGATCATGAAGTACGAACTTTCGGTTTTCGAACGTATCAGTTAGATTATGACATTGATTCCCATAGACCTAATGCTTCGTGCACAGAAATTTCAAATGTAAGGGCATAACGCAGTTCGTAAGGACTGAACCGTCGACAAGGACTAATCAATCCAGAATATATTAGATAGATTTCGAATTCTGTTTCAAGAGGTAACGACGCCATTTATTCAGTGGTCGACAACACGAACATCCTAATGTCACCCTCCGTACATGAATCAACACACTGAGAAATGATGAGGAGTGAGGAACGGTTTATGGGACTGGATTGGATTGGATTAGACTGGACTGGACTGGAAACATTTAAGACTGGGTACTGTTAAATCCGTAATCTCTGCAAAATTTTGGTTACACAGTCTCGAATATTCTGCGAGAAACAACTTGTAAGCGATTGCCAAAACTGCCTCAAAACACTGTCCGCATCCATTAGAATAAGGACTAAAAGGAAATGTGGAATTTCATCTCTGATAATGGGTGGAAAGTCCAAACGTCTAGCCGAATCCAACCTCTCCAAAGCTGAATGTCAATCGAATTACTTCAGTCAATTCCTAAATGAAGTGCTCACTTATGGTGTCAACATTACTCCACCAATGGATACAGTGTTCATGACGAAGGAAATAGTCTTACGGTTGCTCATTAATTTCAAACCTGGAGATTCCTCTGGTCCTCATGAGTTACACCCCAGACTGCTATCTTTGCTGACGGACATTGTTTCTGAGCCAGTCACTGATCTTTCCAATGTCCCTATCTCAGACTCCCCTCCGTAGAGATTGGAAAGATGCCATAATCAGACCAGTTTTTAAGGCTGGTAGTCCCCAGCTGGTGTCTTACTATCGATCGCTCTGTCAGTCTGACGAGCACAGTTGTTGAGGCTTTAGAAAAGATAATTCGTGATAAGCTACTTAAACATGTTGAATCAAACAAAATATTGGTGCGACAACAACACACTTTTCGTACTGGACCCTCCTGTTTAACAAACCTCCTCATCATGAGAGAGGAATGGGTTGCAACTCGTGATTGTAAGCTGACAATAGATGTCGTGTTTATCGACTTCAGTAAGACATTCGATAAAATGTCACATGTGAAATTATTAGGAAAGCTCTCCTCTTTCGGGTTTGCTGCTGCATTGCAAGCCTGGATTAGCAACTTTCTGTACGGCACAAGGCAAACAGTGAAGGTTAATCGGATACTGTCCGGGTGGAAACCTGTGATGAGTGGAGTTCCGCAAGGAATAACTTTAGGTTCACTTCCTTTATTGTTATATGTCAACGACTTACTACAAGTGTTCAACTCTTCGGTGCTGCTATTCACCGATTACGCAAGAGTTTGCAGTGACAGGTGCACACTTCATGCGGATTTGGATGAACTACTAGGTTGCTCCAAACGTTGGTGTCTGGAAATCAACTCTAGTAAGAGTGTGATGATGTACATGAATAGATAACATTTTTGATTGAAATTGAGACAAGTGTATGCAAAATAAGCGAATAAGTTTCTTTTATGAGTGTTTTGAACGGAACGATGAATCGAACGTAGGAAATGCGAGCGAGCATTCTATTAAGATGATGGATAGAATGGTATCAGTACATTCATTTTAATTGGTTTTCAAACTGAGTTAACGGAGAAAACTAGTGAAATATTTAGGAAATAGGGATAAGAAAATGTGTCCAACTGTCTTACGTATATTGGTGACTCACAATGTACAATCTTCAAGCAAACACTTAACGCCGCTTGTAGTTTCCGACCAGTAGAAGCTGTCCAGTGCTCCCAGGTTTCCTTTGTTCCTCCAACTGATGTCAGTCTTCGATGAATAACAACCTGAATTATTTCCAAATCTCCACAACCCCTCAAAAAAGAAATATTTCTGACAATCTTCCAATTCTCATATTCATTCTGTTACCAGTACTTATTCGACCTTGTCCTGACAGTGACCTCAACTATTTCTAATCCACTCCAATCGATATTTGCCTTACTTTCACTTACATGATTCTATTTTAACACATATTCATCACCACTTCATTTTTGGGTAAAATAACTACTATTATTTGTCCCTTGGGGTCATAGTGGAACACACGGCTTCACTAGCACGCTTCAATTCCACTCTGCTCGCTGAAATCTTTTCAACCTGGCTCCACCACTGCCCACAAGCTTCCATTTCTTCCTCACACCTTCTCCTCCATGTCACCCTCGCCTCAGACGCCCAACTCGTCATCCCCCATTTGCGTTCCACTCGACGGTCTGGCGCATAATGTTCCAAAACCCTCTTCTCAGTGCATACCCAACCCAATCCAATCCATATCCACTTCCTTCCAGTGCATATTTCTTGACCGATATGTTCTTGGTTAGTTCGTTGCCATACCAGAGTTCCTTGTTGCTTATTCTTTATGGCAATCCATATGAGCTTCAGTAACGAGACAGCGTAGGCAGTTGTTGATGAATATCTGTAGTTTGTTGGAAATGCCTTTCGTAAGGCGCCAAGTTTCTGAACCATATATGAGCACTGACTTGACTGAATTGGTGTTGAAAATCCCGATCTTGTTCACGCTTTATCCTGAGTGCAGTGCAGTGCAGTGCAGTAGATCTCCACACTGGTTTCATTTTAATGAACGACAGTCTTGCTGTCTTTCCGATCCTGGCTTTGACATCCTCGTCTGTGCCTTTGCCGCCTGTATTTGAAACAGTGCTGCCTAGATAGGTGAACGAGACTACTTCCTTCAAGTTTCTCCCGTTGATGATTATTCGAGCTTGTTGTTGTTGGTGGTGGTGGTGGTGTTGGTGGCGTTGGTTGGGTATCATCATCACCTCCACCTCTGTGTTCTCAACCTTCGCTTGAAGTCCTGTATTCGCTGCCTCACCTTTTCTGTCAACTTGTTAGTTCTCGCCTGTAGATCTTTTATTAGTGTGACATTAGACACAGGTCATCAACGAAATCCAATTATTCTGGGATCTTTTACCTGGTCCACCCAGCGTATCTTCCTCTTCTCACTCCTCACTGTTGTCTGCTGCATGATCCGGTCCCGTCCATTACAGTCTGCAACATCATGGGTGATAGCAGGCAACCTTGTTTTACTCCTGTCTTCACTTCACTTCAAAGGCATCATTGAGCTTCCTTTGTGAATTTCTCGGCATGTGGCGTCTTCACATAGTTGTTGAATGAGGCGGATAAAATTTTGCGGTATTCCGTAGTATTGAAGCAGTTTCCAAATTACCTCTCGGTCGACGCTGTTGAAGGCCTTTACAACGTAGATGAAGTTGAGGTGATGTAGAGAGTTGACTGCCATTCTGTACTCTGTTCTATGATGATGCGTAAAGCAGCGTTGCAATTTCGTCGGCACATGATTTGTACTTCCTGAATACAGCCAGCCAGCCAGTTCCGGTTGTAATTTTGAATCCAGCGCCCGTTTAGTCTCTCCAGGATCATCCGGAGTAATATTTTGCTTGCCTTGGGTGGACAGGGACAGATACGTGATCCCGTGCCTGTTCTTGCACAGACTTAGGTCGCCCTTCTTTGGGAGTTTGACAAGGTAGCAATTCTTCCAGTCAATCGACAGGTACCTTTCCTTCTTTCCAGACCTTCTGCAACAGGAGTGGTGTGAGCATGTCATCTGTAGAAATATAATCAGATGAAATGTTAATTATTTTCACCTCATTCTTAGAGGTAAGTTCATTCTCCTATTTTTAAAGTGAATAGATCCATGTACATTTATCTCAATTTCAATCAAAAATGTTATCTATTCATGTACATGGCGTTCCCAAGATAACATAATTTTTTAAAGTTTGAGTCTCGCAAGACAAACACCAAATGATTATTCAACTAGTTACTCGATGTTACAGTAGCTCGTATGAAATTCTTGTTTGTTGAATTTATATCTGTCTCTTAACTACAGACATTCAGGGAACGTAGAAAAATCCTCACCTCACATTTCATTTCTTACACAACCCTTACTAATTCATTATTATTAACCGATTAACCAGTCATGCATAGGCATGCATCCTTCCTTCTATGCCATGGTATCATGTGACCTGAAATTCAACTCCAGTTTCCCCTCAATTTCTCACCTAATGTCAGTAGTAAGCGTGGATATGCTCGTTCACCTAAACGGCCAACAAAACTCATAAGCTTCTAATCCTCCTATCACAAGTCCACCAGAAGAACAAGGTCACCTTGATAACATAGCTTCATCACGTGCAAAGTCTCAGACTGAACCAATAGAAATTGAATAAGTCTGAGCCAATGATGTAAAAGATTTAACTGGTTTGTGATTGGCGAAATCAATTTTGTGGTCATCGTATGTCTAGAATTTTGCAGTATATAAATCGATGAGACGAAACATTTAGATAATATTGGATTAGTTGAGGCTTTAGTTATTCATTTCTGTAGTAGTTGTGATTGTGATTTTGGTTTTCGTTGAATATGTCGTCTGGCAAAAATGACAAGGTGGTTAGCATTCCTGTGAATCGTGAGTCGCGATCATTCGAGAGGCAAAGACGTGACTTGTTGACGGGTTTGGAACATGGAGGTAGCAGTGGTCGTGAGAACTCTATTGCACCATACCATGACGACTGGCCGAGCACAGTGGACAACTGGATCAACTCAGCGTGGAGAAGATGGGATGAAGACATGCGTCGTATGAGGCGAGGGATGTTCGCTCTGTTGGTGAGTTTTAATATTCAGATGTAAGTGATGAGATAGATGAGTAGCATTAAATAGGGGGTGTATGTCTGTTGTGACTTTGGTGATTATGCCTACCTACTGGAATGACTAGAATAATATCGTTGTTTGTTAATCGAGAGGGAACTGTTTGTGTTTTCTGTTTCAGCCAGTGGACGACTTTGGCGTGTCAGCACTGCACGATCCATTTGCCCTGATGCGTCAGATGGAGCACCACATCGAGGATATTCGAGACAGGATGGGTTCATTGGACGTGCCGTCGACTGGGTCATTGACTGACTTCCTGAAGGACGCATACGAGATAGGTGAAGATGGGAAGGTGAGTTGTTGGTGTTGGGTGGTTTGTGTAGTTGTGGAGGGATTGTGAAGTGACCATTGAGTGTTGCTTGTCCCTGTGTAGGTGCATTTCAAGGTGAGATTCGACGCGAAAGGCTTCGATGCGGGCGATATCAATGTGACATCGAGTGACAACCGTGTGACTGTGCATGCGAAGAAGGAGACGAAAAGTGATGGTGGGAGATGTTCTCGTGAGTTCTGTCGGATGGTGCAGCTTCCTCAGAGCATCGAGCATAATCAACTGAAATGTCGTCTGACAGATGTAAGTCAATGAACCTGATTTTGTCCTTGTTGCTTTGTGTATGTATCACTTGTAGCTGTCTGGCGGTTTAGTGAAAGAGTAAATGTTGATCAGTGTGACTGAGTATAATTCATTCGTATTAGATTGTTGTGTATTCAGTGTGGCAGAGTATTATTTATTGGATGACGTTACGAACAGAATATGTTGTTAATATTCGAGTGAAAGGAATGTGAAGAATGAGTTGTGGTTGGAACATGATCCAGTGAACAGTAGTGTATGACTGTGTGGCATAAGAACTAAGGTGTGTAATTATGGAATTATCTGTGTGATTGAATTGTTTCTCATGGTGTTTGTTTGTGTGTTTGTTTCAGGATGGTGTTTTGATGCTGGAGGCGCCTGTAAAGGTTTCCGCGAACCAGTCACTGACGTTGAATGAGTCCGGTCAGGTTGGTGTGCGACCGAAGCCGGATAATCAGATACAAGCAGTACCTGGGTCTAAAGCCCTTGCGGTGAGAGGTAAGTGTTGTGAGGATTTGGTTGAAAGTTGGATGTAGATATTTTGTTGTTATTGTTTTTGTATGAGTGGTGAGAGAGGTGTTTTGGTTTGTTTCTTTGTTTAGGTGTTCAGGGTCCAACAGTTGTGGACGATGGTTCGGGTGGTAAACGATTGCATGTGGAGGCTGCAGTGGATCCTATCTACAGGCCTGAAGATTTGTGTGTGAACGTGGATTCGAACCGTGTGGTAATCAGTGGACGTCATCATAAGGAGGAGAAACATGGTGGATCTGGGAAGGCGAGTTCGTATGCTGAGTTCAGTCAGTCATATGCAATTCCGGAGACAGTGGACCCGTTATCTGTTTGTGCTCAGGTAGTTGGGAACACATTGGTGGTAGAGGCGCCGTTGGAGAAGCGAATTGAAGTTAGCCGTTGAAGCGTAATGATAATGAGGGAGGATTGAGATGATGATGAACATCGAATTTATGTGGTGTTGTTTTTTTACTCAATAAACTGTTGTTACTTCTCTAATTTGACTTTGAGTTATTGTTATTCGTGAAGATTTTTCTGTCGTGTGAGTGACTTTGGTGAATATTGTTGGGTTTTGATGTCTGGGATGTGTAGTGTGGATTGAGGGGTGGTTTGGAGATGTTGTTGATGTGGAGTGTTGGTTTTGTTGTTTATTGATAGTTTAAGGGAGAGTGTTGTTGTCACTTCTTGGAAGACTGTAAGTTATTTTGATGTTATGTAGAATGTTCAGCGAGTTATCGGTTTAAGGAAGTTTCAGTTATGAGGATAGTTGGCCTGTGTTAATCCTAGGGGATGTCTCTCGGAGGAACTAGTTTCTCGTTCAATGCGTTGGATGTTGATGAGGACGACACGATGGGAGAAACGCAGACTCACACTAGGTTGGTTCGGTCGTGGTTTTTGGATTTATTTGTGATGTCCTTGGAGATGGTCATTCCTAGCAGGGTAGGACAGATGGAACTAGTTAGTACTGAAGTCATTATCAAGGATACGGAATGGTAGTATGAGGTCTTACTGTCTATTGCGGTAAGACATTGGGAATGAGTTTAACCGATCTTGTTGTTCCTCATGAGATAGATTCGAATGGTGCGCCACAAGCTGCTTAGTACATGCTATTTGAACACGCTCGAGTACGTCGGCATCCCTCTTTAGGCATGGGCTGGCCACCTAACTGTAATATTCCAAGTGAGGTCTAACGTAAGTCGAATAGAGTATTCTGAGCATATTGTGATGAAAACTTTTGAAAGTGTTGCGGATGGACCATAATACACAGAAGGCCTTTACTGCAACTGCACTACAGTGGGTTGAGGTTTTCAAATTATGACCTAAGTTTTTCAGTTCAAAGACTGGAAGTGGTGGTGTGGCATCAACGGAATAGTGGGAACAACTGCTATTACCAATGCACATCATCACACTCTTACTAGAGTTGATTTCCAGACACCAAGGTTTGGAGCAACCTAGTAGTTCATCCAAATCCGCATGAAGTGTACACCTGTCACTGCAAACTCTTGCGTAATCGGTGAATAGCAGCACCGAAGAGTTGAACACTTGTAGTAAGTCGTTGACATATAACAATAAAGGAAGTGAACCTAAAGTTATTCCTTGCGGAACTCCACTCATCACAGGTTTCCACCCGGACAGTATCCGATTAACCTTCACTGTTTGCCTTGTGCCGTACAGAAAGTTGCTAATCCAGGCTTGCAATGCAGCAGCGAACCCGAAAGAGGAGAGCTTTCCTAATAATTTCACATGTGACATTTTATCGAATGTCTTACTGAAGTCGATAAACACGACATCTATTGTCAGCTTACAATCACGAGTTGCAACCCATTCCTCTCTCATGATGAGGAGGTTTGTTAAACAGGAGGGTCCAGTACGAAAAGTGTGCTGTTGTCGCACCAATATTTTGTTTGATTCAACATGTTTAAGTAGCTTATCACGAATTATCTTTTCTAAAGCCTCAACAACTGTGCTCGTCAGACTGACAGAGCGATCGATGTAAGACACCAGTTGGGGACTACCGCCTTAAAAACTGGTCTGATTATGGCATCTTTCCAATCTCTACGGAGGGGAGTCTGAGATAGGGACATTGGAAAGATCAGTGACTGGCTCAGAAACAATGTCCGTCAGCAAAGATAGCAGTCTGGGGTGTAACTCATGAGGACCAGAGGAATCTCCAGGTTTGAAATTAATGAGCAACCGTAAGACTATTTCCTTCGTCATGAACACTGTATCCATTGGTGGAGTAGTGTTGACACCATAAGTGAGCACTTCATTTAGGAATTGACTGAAGTAATTCGATTGACATTCAGCTTTGGAGAGGTTGGATTCGGCTAGACGTTTGGACTTTCCACCCATTATCAGAGATGAAATTCCACATTTCCTTTTAGTCCTTATTCTAATGGATGCGGACAGTGTTTTGAGGCAGTTTTGGCAATCGCTTGCAAGTTGTTTCTCGCAGAATATTCGAGACTGTGTAACCAAAATTTTGCAGAGATTACGGATTTAACAGTACCCAGTCTTAAATGTTTCCAGTCCAGTCCAGTCTAATCCAATCCAATCCAGTCCCATAAACCGTTCCTCACTCCTCATCATTTCTCAGTGTGTTGATTCATGTACGGAGGGTGACATTAGGATGTTCGTGTTGTCGACCACTGAATAAATGGCGTCGTTACCTCTTGAAACAGAATTCGAAATCTATCTAATATATTCTGGATTGATTAGTCCTTGTCGACGGTTCAGTCCTTACGAACTGCGTTATGTCCTTACATTTGAAATTTCTGTGCACGAAGCACTAGGTCTGTGGGAATCAATGTCATAATCTAACTGATACGATCGAAAACCGAAAGTTCGTACTTCATGATCACTGTTAGCTAACATCGGGGAGTATCGTAGATCCATAATGTCTCTCTCTATATTGGTAATTTAAAAGGAAATCTAATAACGAGAGGCTTGTGTTCAAGATGGAATCTATCCTTCGCACAGGTTACGTTTTGAACTAGAACAGATTGTAGTACAGTTAAAAGTAGGTCATTTGGGAGGGAACTGGCTGAGGCTAAGACTGTTAGCTCCGTCCAGTTTATGTGTGAAGTATTCAGATGCCCAACTATTAGGCAGGCATGTGTTGCTTCTATTCCAGTAATGTATATGGGTTAGGACGAAGTCATTTGGAAGGCAGGGTGGACTGCAGTAAATTACCGCGATTGTACACAAACATTGATTTGACTTCAGCTCACAACTGGCCACTTCGCAGGTGCAATGCGATTTGGCATGCCTTATTGGAACTTGCTGTGTATGTGTGTGTGTGTGTGTGTGTGTGTGCGTTGTATGTTGTTGAGGCCAGTTTGTTTCGGTCATTCGTAGTGCTAATAATGTGAGATTATTTCATCTGATCAAGGACTTGTGACAATGAAGTTGCAGTCGATGTATGTGAAGAATGTTTTTGAATATTTCCTGTGGATGTTAGGTGTAGATGTGAATTGCGACTTTCTCGATGAGTGATGGCGTTCGCTTTCCCTGTTCGCCTGCGTTCAGGTAGAATAATCACTTCGGATATCAGTTCTTTCCTATCGTCTCTGTTCCACTTTCCCTTGATTTGTTCTTCATCAAGTGTTGTACACAATAGCAGTCAATAGGTAATAATCCTCTTTCGATTTCTATCCAAGCAGTTCTAAACACAAATACAATGTGTATTTATCATGGATGCATTTCATATTTGGATATTGATGCGTAATGATTGATAGGTATGGGGTAGGTAGGATAAGTGAATGAATTATTGGAGTGGATAATTACAATGAGGAATGAAGTAAACTTCATACTGAAGCTTCATTCTGACCGGGTAGGCAGGGATGCAGATGATACAGACTACTGGAGACTTGAAATGAAATGTTTGACGGTGTATTTATTCACTGATATTGTAGTGGGCGTTGATCATCACAATGGATATGAGTAGTATGTGTTGAGAGGGTGGCAGAAATGATATGCAATCCCCAGGAATGGGTAAGGATTCTCTCCAGAGAGAGAGGAATGCGACAGAAAATGTGAGCGTATTGAGAGGAAATGAAGAGAGAAGCAGAAGAGGAAGTGAAGCACATTGTGCAAATGACTGTCTTGGTGCAAGGTGTACCATATTTAACGACTACCGTGCTACATGGTAATAATAAACATTCCTTCCTTCGTCCCTATCACCTCATTTCCTCCCAATATCTGTGTCACGAATCAGTGATGAATTCACGAGTTTCCAAACCCTTAGTAAGGAAGAATATGTGGGTTATGCGTCCACATTATTTATTTAATCTGGTGAGTGTTTCAGTGACGTCATGCAGTTCATTCGAAAGTGAATAGTCATAACGATTCACTTAAAGCTTGGTTCATTGATTCCAGCTACGAGTACACTGAAGAAGGTGAGAGTCGCTGCAATATATTTCCTCCTCAGTGTGTCTGTTCACCTAAGCTCACACGATGGGAATGGCTAGTATTTGCAGTTTTCGAGTATGACAACCAATTATCTGGAGATGGGAATCAGATTTATTGGAATGACAAATATTCCGTGGAGACTGGTGAGCAGACGACACTGCGTCCTCCAACTGGATACTTTCAGTGTTTTCTTCGGTTAGGAATGATGGGTGTAAATCGAGAGACTGCCACTCGTCGAACGACTGAAGTAACCAATTAGAGCTGTGTATTTCATGAGGAAGCTGGCTGTGTGGTGTCAATAAACAGAGTGAATTGCTTATTTTTCATTCGTTGGTAGGGTGAGATTTGAAATCATTGGTGAAAATCATCTGACAATAAGTGGGGTTAGATTGAAGGTAAGAAAACCGTGTGTCTGTTTATGATTGATGTGCATCTGACATGTAGTTGAAGCTGATTTCCAATCAGTTTTGCGTGTACACGAACGCACCTTCTTCGTTGTCCGTTTCAACACTTCAATGTGTGGAATTAGAGATGCAAGAGGCAAGTGACTGAGAAACAAGGAATTAGAGGGAATGGTGGAGATTACGTCGGTTGGGTGTAAATGGATCTGCGATACTCCATTGTCTTCTTTCTGCAAGCTGCTGGCTGACAAACTATGAAAATAAATAAATACTAATGTCTGATTTGTTTCCATCAGCTGTGACAGATTTCAGCGTTGAGAGGATTGCTGAGTAGTCATTGAGTGTTGAGTGTACTGCACAGCACAGTAATGAAGGTGAGCAAGATTTGATGGAATTATTGTGATAAGAAAATGAAGAATGTACATAGTTGGAAGTCGACTGGTCAGAGGAATGTGCTAGTGACTGGTGAAGAGAGAGAGAGAGAGAGAGAGAGAGAGAGAGAATTGAAGTACCCTCGAGTGTTGTGATATACTTTGTTAGTTAGTGTGAGTTATTGAGAAAGTGATAAACAGCGCCTAGTTAATTGGAAGTGACTCCTGCATAATTTGATTGTCATGATGTAGGCACATGCGTAAATGTGGAGAGTTGAGGTCATCGTCTGAGTATTTTGTTCGAGTATCCAGCC